ATCACCCTATCTCGTCTCTCTGCGTCTGCTTGCCGCAGTGCTCAGCCGATGGCAAAGTACAGACGACGATCAGGGTCTGACAACGCCAACATTGGTGCATGAAGGAGGCTGTCTACGAACCCGCCAAAAGCCTCCGTATGCTCGGTGTCCCAACACCATTCCGTAAATTTCTTAGGAAAATTCGACAATGGCCGTGCACTTTCCGCATAGTTTGCGCTTTCCATATTCTTGTGGTTTTTAAAACCGACCAGACCGCAATAGCCTTGACCTTAGCGGGATCCGCTTGAAGGCCACGTATTCCAATGAAGCACCCTAAGAACGTGATTTCTTTTGCGCCGAAGATGCACTTATCTGTATTAGCATACAGCGTATTCGTGCGCATTCAGTTAAGCACTGCTCTCAAATTGACGATGTGGTTTATCACATCCGTCCTCATGTGCCCATACGACTGTGGACAAAGATGTAGTCGACGTTTGTCTGTGCATACGCCCGTTGGGACATTAACCACTGCGTCACAAGACGACTAAATGTTGCTGGTGCATTTGACAGCCCTTTGGAAATCACCAGCAACTCGCTCGAAGTACTCAATGCTGTCAGCAGAATACTACTCACACCCATCATCAATATGTAATTGTTATCGACCAAGTCGAGTGCTCTGTAATCTGTCCAGCCAGCCATATTGTTTTAAAATGGTGTTTGTGCCGGAATGGTAGCAGTGTTTAGATTACTATAAGCGTGGACGATACGCCACTTGCCGTTCGGCTTTCAGACACATGACGTGGGTGTCAAACGGGAAAACTTGCTCTCACGCACCATTCTTGCCTTGTGCTTTACACGGAAAACGCGTCAATGACGTCACACAGCTCCTTAGGGAAGGGGCATTGGCGTGTTACAAAGTATTTGGGCTCCAAACCAGGTCGATGTCATGACGCACACCTCGATCAGGAGGTAGGACCGACGGTGGTCTTTGAAAACAACGTCTCGGAATTCCTTCACCAAAGAATAGTACTAATTCAAGAGATTCTTCAGGATCAACGATTCATTTCGTGCGTTCAACACCCTCTTGACGTCCTGCTGGACAGCTTCATCCAAAAGCAACGACGAGTTAATCT